TCAATAATTATTTAAGAGTAAACGTGGAAAATATAAAGAACAAATCAGCGCATACTTGACAAAGCGCATACTTTACAACTTTGTTTGTAACGAAAATGTAGAATTAAATAGTTTGTTAAAAAAAAAATTGAAAATTGATAAAACACTGATAAAATCTCTTGTCTTTTTGAAAGGGCGTAGCCTTGAAAAATTCCAGACTGCATGCCGACTTGAGCGCGCGCGTGCGAGGCGCTAGTTTTTCACTCAGCGGATTAGTTCCGTATCGGCGAAATGATCTGTCACGATTCTCTCCGGATCCGAGAAAGAAAGAACGAGAATGTGGAGGAAGGCGGGCAAAAATTCTGGCGTGGCTCGCGACCTGTCCGCCGTGCCGTGCGACGAATTAATTAGTTCGATCGTGCGGCACGTCTTGAATGAAAAGCCGGGGCGTTACATGCGCGCACGCCGGGGTTATTGCACGACGCGTTACTGTACGGCCGCTACGTGCCTCGCGTGAAATTACATTATCGGACTAAATTAGCGCGATTCAGTTCTGTCTTGTGAAGTCGTGGTCGATTCGTCAAGCGCCGCCCGGCTTGTTTCCGATAATTCCGGAAACGGCCGCATCTCTTTTATCTTAGCAGATCAGTTCTTGGATCGTCATTCGGCGCAACAAATGTGTGGCAAACGATATTATATAAAGTAGACGAGTGGATGATTCCTTAAGATAAGAGACTGATTCTGTTTTGGAATAAAGTAGAAGTGCTTTATGACTAGCTTTCAGGAATTTTTGAGAAACATAGAAATAACTTGCCAGCTTTTCACACGGGATTAAAATGATAAAACTCTCGAGTTGCCGATAAGATCTCATTTTTCTTTCGCAACTTTTGTTCAATAATTAGAATTATCACGATACGTCACGTCGAAGAATTGTTCTCGATCGTGCGGTGTATCGAATGAGACGAAAGCGCGTCTCGTCACCCTTAGTAAACCGTACACTACACTGGGTTACCCTTGCAACCCTTGAGTTCTCGACCCACCCCTGGTAAATTTGTTCCGCACACATACGTGTATATGTGTACATTCGCGCGCGCATGTACATCCGTACGACAGTGACGTGTCGCCGGAGTCCCATGGCGTCGATTCTCCAGAGACGGGAAAGTCCGAGTTCTTTCTCGGGCATTATCGATCTTAGGACGGTGTATTTTCTCGCGTGAAGGAAGAAAATCGCGTCTAATTTCCCTTTATATCTTGATCCGTCCTGTCCGATTATTTATAATTAATTATTTCGTGATTGACATCATTTATCAGTTCGATCAGTTATCAAAAAACGTATCTCTCATTTACCTAAGAATTCTGCTTAAATTTGTTTTTGTTTTAGAACTAAATTCACGCGTCTATCCGTCTATGAATTGATCTAGTATGTAGATTACAAGGTTAGACAGTTATCTATTGATATGCGGTTTTTCAATGTTTTCTTGCGACGTTATTTTGAAAAATTTTTATTTTATTATCTTATCCGCAATGAAGAAAGATTCAAAGAAACCGTCTTATCTTACTCATTCGCGAAGGTCACTTTTTACTGAAATCTTGACCTCCAGCGACTTCGTTTGAGCGGAATGTTAGTTGTATTAAAGTTAATTCTAAGTAGCTTAACTCTCGGCAAGAAGCTATCGTTCCTTCACGTGCCAAACGTTACACCGGATGTTTGTAGCACTGATAACGCGGTAACGCCACAATAAATTGGTGGAAAATCACAGATGATATTCTTTCTCGCGATACTCTATAGGATCTAAATAAAGCGTTAATTTGCACTTTTACGAGGTTATCTGTCGAGGAATGTAGAGTCCATCTCCTTATGTGCGACACGTGTACAATCCGCGTAATTATTATTTTTTGCGTTATCACGGCGCTTATGTCTACTTTGTTTGTCTCTTTCGCAACCTCGTGCAACTAAGCACGTTATAATTAGCATAGCGATTTTACAAGGTCGGCTGATACGGAAGAAACTGCGGTGCGTATATCATCAAGGTCGATATCTCGAGTTCGAGGGGAAAGTCCGACTTTGCGTTACACCATGCAGTAAGGGGTCTTGTTACAAAAAAAAAAACGGTCCTTCGATGTATACACGCACGGAAATGATGTAATTCTCAAAGCTATATTTCATGGCGGAATTTTTTTGCGGAAATGTGATATCGTGAATTTTTATAAACGCGGAATTGCGCGTTACAGCTGATCGCTTATCATTTTTTTTCTCTTAATGCTGATTGTAATATTAATATTGCATATACATGTATAGATTATAGTACATGTTTTATAATAATAACGAATGATTAACTGGAGAAATTTTTATATAATAATAGATAAAAGAGATCATTTTATTAAGGTTTTATTTAATATTACATTAAATACAAGCTCTGTACATTCACGACTATTATATTTTTTTGCAAATATGAAAATTAGTAGGAAATGTTCAGAAATGCATATAGAAAGATTAATGAGAATTGTATAATAAAATTTAAAACAAAATACGATTTTTAATATGCTTCTCATTAATTTTATTTTAAAATAAAAGTTACAACTAATTTTTCAGACCACTTAAGAGTAAAATAAGAGTTTTAAGAATTGTTTTTTTTTTCTTGAATTCTTCTGTTAAATTAGTATTTTTTATTCACCTCAAAATTTAGTGAATTCAACGTTTCCAGTTGCTTCCCGAAGATTCGTTCAATTTTGATTTTCTCGTCCCATTTAATATTATGTTACGTGATTCGCACATCATACGAAGCATCGCGGGAGAATATGTAACGTGCTAAACGTCGTATCGATCGTAGATCGAATGGTTCCGAAATTCGTTACCGGAAGTGGCGACGCTCTGAACTCTCTGTTACTGGAATATTCTGCGTACTCTTGTTATTAATCACCGCACCGCGTTCGCTTCTTAATGATCGCCCGTCCAGCCTCGGGGCGCGAATATGCGCGTGGCACACCAACCCGGTCATTTTGAGCACCAAATATTATCAATGCGACGTTAATTACCCGCCGGTTAACCAAGTGCTACTTCACAACCGAGAATTTGATCCTCGATGATTTGAAAGCCGTCAATTAAGATATTTAATAACGCTTCTATTCAAGCCTTTCTGTTCGTTAATCGGAAATTATATGCAAAAGTGAAAAGGAAAATTCATGGCAAATGATAGAGATTTTTTGCAATGCTTATTTTGATCTAGGATCAATATTTTCAGAGTTGAGAAATGTTGATTTTTTTTACAATCGAGATTCGATCTGTTGACGAATCGTTTTTCTAAACGAACAACTAAGGTAGGCGTGAAATGAATTAAGTAATATCGGAGAATTATCACACGTTATTGTCATATACGGAAATTAATTCGCATTTATGTCCACTATTGCGATCGTTGTACGGGGTTAATTCGTGAAAATTGTGTCACGTAATATGTTTCTGGTAATTTATTCAAAATATTAGTATTTGGCAGATCGTCGACAAACAGATTGACAGCATAAATACGCAATGGCCTTCGCATTATTATTGATTTTGATATAGCGTTATTTCACCAAACAGCTGAGTGTCTAACGTATCACTCTCCATACATAATAAGTATGTACTCGCGCTATTGGAGATTTTAAAAGTCTTCAGTCAAACTTTATTGAAATATTCTCTTTTTCAGATTTGAAAGATTACTTAATTTTTGCGACAATGTACAGTAAAAGTTGAAAATATATTTCTGCATATTATGATTTTTGCTGCACTTTATGCAATCAGCTCTCATGTTTAATTAGAACTTTGCGACTGATATAATTATACTGTCGGCCAATTTTATGGAGCATGCTCACGAATTGCATATATGCCATGAAATCATGCGACAATGTTCAAAATCCAAAATTTAATATATCACTAATAGAATTAATTAGTACCATTAACATTAATAATAATACATTTAATACTCTAATCTCAACATTTCTAAATATATATTTTCAATTCCAATTTTTTTTTAAACTTTGAAATTTGTTAAAAATTAATGAGCAATAAAAAAAAATCGTAAAATACGACGCGATGGAAAGCGATCCCTATTTCGGGACATATTCTTGGCTGGCGTTTTGCATTTGCGATATAAGAAAAAAAAAACGCTAATGACGTTTTAATTATGCGCCTCGCAACAACGACGATTATCGTGACTAATCGTCTCTTTTACTTTTAGAATTGCATTTGTTATGATTAGTACTTGTTTCTAGATGAGGATAATTCCGAAGAGATAAATTTTTCTAAAATTGCATACTATGTTAATCGATACGATTATTGTTATCACAAATAATTGTAGCAAATGTAATAAATATCCATGGTTTATAACATCGAAATTTAAGTTCGTCAAAATTATTATAACAACTGAAATTGGGAATTAAGTCTGTTAATAAGAACATAATTTTGTTATATTGTAATATTATTAGCATTAGGTCATATGTTAACATTCATTTTCTGAAGAACGCATCCAACAAAATGAAAACGTATTAAAATTATACAAACAAAAGGTTCATCGCAAAAGAGCGATCCAGCCGTCTCTTTGAAGAAAATCAATCGAGCGAATGTAAAATTGAAATCAGTTTTCCGAGGTTTTTTTTTTCACAGAAGTGAATTAGAGATCGCCGTTGCGCCGAACCCTTCGCAAACCGTTCAAATCCTCTGTACCGCGTTCCGTTAAAAAGATCGAAAATGGCGCGGTCGTGGTGAAAGTCGTAAACTACATTTCGCGAATCTGTGCCACGTCCGAGCGCGTTTTGCGGCGTGCTCGCGCCCGAGAGAGTCGGCACGGTAGTATGCCGTACCCCTCGGGGCGCCTTACGAAAATTCGCGCGACGGACGGGGAACGTATGTGTTGTATGCATGAAACATTTCGCGGCACATAGCGCACATATATATGTACACAAACACACATACACGCACACATACACGCCAGAGTAACACGCTGTACACAGCACACCTAACATGACCGATCGGTCTGATCTGACAGATCGTTGCCTGTCCCCAGGAGGCATACCCCAGGTTATGGCTACAGCCAGCCGGACTACAGGCTCCACGAGTTGAACAAGAGGTTATCGCAGCGCACGGAGGTGAGTACCGCTTTCAAATTCATTTCTCTTTTCTCTTCGCACGTCTTGCGTCTCGCGCGCGTCTCGTAGTATTCGCGCGCGAGCAAGTGTCCCGCTCTCTTGTTCTTTGCTGGCCCTTCGCATTCGATCGTTCGTCTGCCGCACACGCGGCAACGTGTGACGTAATAATTCAGACGCTTTGTCTCCAAATAAACTTTTTACTTAATCGTCCTTTTTTAGGAGAAATTTCGAAAGTACAGCAAATCACATTATTTCTCTGAAACGTTAATCTAATTTGTATATGCAATGATGGGATTATTTGTCTTAAACTCGTGGACCGAATTTTTCGTCAGCATTTGATGATGTATAATTATTAAAAACTACCATTTACGAGGAGCACATACATAAGTTTGTATGTTTTAAAAAATATTAATGTAACTTTAATTATTAACGAACTTTGTAATATTAACGTTCGATATATTTCGTGTAGGAAATATATAATGAGCTTTTAACCATTTTCGATTTAAATTTATTTTAGAAAAATGTAGGATAATGTGTTTATTTACATTATCTTGCATAATTTGGTATTTTACATCGATTTGACATTAATAGTAAATTGGTTTGATAATGTGAGTGATTACTCCACGAGAACGTGTGCCTGTTTTGAATCTTGATTGTTGACTTGACGCGTGTCTAATGACAGAGAAAAAATCGAACGAAACCAGGTGGATAACAGACGCGAGACTTGATTATGCGAAATACATTGTTTTTAACACGAGCTCTTATCACTCGCCTGAACATATATATTTCTTTTATACTACAAATTATTATACAATGGTTTTGCCAATTTTTCAATATTGTGTAAACAAAGGAAATATCTCTTTATTTGATAAAATCAAGAAAATAAATGTCCCTTTGAAACGTTAAAAAAAAATTTTAATACCGAAACGGTCAGCGCCACGAAATTTACGACATGCTTAATCGAACACGCTGTTTATCGCAATTCGAGATATCGTTATTTTGATAAAGGTTATTGTATGTCGTTTTGTTTAATTGCGTTTGCCAAAACTGCTCGCAATTTTCATTTGTTCCTTCCATTTGAGTTACGCACACCAAAGGTTCAGGTAATTGTAAAGTTATCAATGCTTTGTGTTTCTATACAAAAGACACAAAAGTTCTAAATCATGTTTATTTGATATTAATATTGTATATTCTAAACAAATTTCAATTGTAAAGTTATTCTGTTTCATGAAATTTTTATAAAAGTCTTGTTATTATATACTGAGCATTATTTAAATAATATTTAATATTCTATAAAAAATGCCTTTTGATTTTGAATCATGCTTTTAGGTGCTTTAATTGATAACTTTTTAAGTTACTGACTACAAATAATACAATTAGAGAGATAATATTTTTACACATATATTTAATTTTATTTGTAATAAAGAATATTTTAAGAGATGAAAATTGGAAAATATTTTACATTTATAGTTCGAATTTACATAAAAAAAGTGTATGCACGAAAAAATTAATATATTAGAACAGTATAACGTGCTGATTTGATTACGGTTTAATTCTTTATCAATGCACATAGTGAATGATAACTTGTTTACACAAGATGGAAAATGCTTCCGTTTAAAATATGATATGTCATATGGGAAATTATATGTATCCGTTTGGCTTTTCTACATTATAAAATTATCTGGGCCATACACTGTCGGCAAATAAACCTGCCTCTTCTGAGAGATTCACGATAATAGCGATAAGATATGATCCGGGGAACGCATTATTGTTCGCGCACATGTTCTATTCGTCGGGTCGATTTCGGACTGCTGACGCTTAATCAGGGCTCTATAACAGAAAACTACGTTTATATTATCGTGATATCGCATATCGTAGTGATTTTTACGAGTATTCGGGAATAAATTATGATTATGATAATCGGAAGCGCGCGCGGATGTAATAACAAAAGCATTTCATTGAAGCTATTATATAATAAAAATGGAATTAAAAATATCAAATATTTTATATGATTATAAAAATTTTATACGCGACGTTATGACAGTTTTAAATAGAAGTTTTTCGAGTAAAAATTATTTTCTGTATCTTCGTATCTTTAATAAAACGAAGAATATTAAAATGAAATTTTGCATTGGTTTTTAATACTTAGTTTCGAGTAGTTTTTTCATGTATGCCATCTGCATACATTCATAAAACGCTCGCACACCGAAGATTAATCCTCCAAGGATGTGCAATTTGCGACAAGTAGAGCAGTCGCCGTATTCCTTTTAAAGATTGATTTTGTAGAGTAGTGGTCAATATGTCATTAGGATTGAGTAATGCAAAGAAAAAAAAAAGAGGAAAGTGCCTGAGGTTAATGCGTTCTAATGAGCCTCCGCGCTCCTAGTACAGCGTTCATTAATCTTCGAGCCGCAAGGATGGACAACCGGTCTTCTTTCCTGGGAGGTCCCGATAAACGGCCCGAATAAATTCTTCGGTTTCTGTCGTTAACGTCGCGTAAGAGGAGCGAGGAGAGGCGAAGCGGCGGCGAGCTGTCAACGCTCCGAGATTGTACACGTGCCAACACGGAAAAACTTTTCCACGTGCTTAGCTCTTGTCCGAGAAGTTTTCGAGCAGATTTTTCGCGACGAATACTCGCGCGATTTCTTTTACGCTCTCGCGTTTCTTACTCCTTCAAGTTATACTTTTATCATTACAAATAGATATTATTTCATCAAGATAATTGAAACAAATCTGAGAACGGATTTTCATCGAGTTAACAATTTTTGTCGCTTTTCCAGTGTTATCTAAAATCATGTCCGTTTTAAAAAGTATCCTATAAATCGTGTGTACGAAAGGAGGAGGGACAAAAGAGTTTTTCAAAATCTCCAACATATCTTTCTCGACATGTTTGCTCGCTGCGTTTTTCGCAATCGTGAATGCATAAGTCAGCTTCGTTCGGACCGTGTTTAAAAACTACCCGCGAGACCGCACTTTGTAATGAAAGGAGACATTTTTTTCCCCTGAAACCGTTTTCGTACACCACAACAATCATCTCGGCGAGCGCACAGAGAGCTCTATATTCGGGAAATTCTGCTTCTCTCTCTCTTTGGTCATTCTCGCGCGCGGCGCACAGGGGACTGGGCGTGTGCGAATTATATTTCGCAGCACAAGCATATATGGGAGAGCGTATATATCAATATGTACGCATGTATACATGTGAACCGCATCGATCGGCTGCGAGGGGAGAAAGAAAAGGTCAGAATCGAACTGGCGTATTGCAATTGCTTTTACTTATGCATAGTCAGGCTGTATATTCTGCGTGCTTGTGGATCTCCCGCGATGACCCGAATTTGCGTTAAACTGCTGACCGTAAATGACTCGTCGGTTTTTCGCTAAGAATAGCATGAGAAAAACGGACTCATCGCCTTTACATCGCGTAGGCACTATTTCAATGAAAACACGATAAGCGCTATATTGCTCGAGGATTAATATAAAAGTAGTGTTTTATTTAAATTATTACTTGAGACAATTTTATTATTTTTTTTTTTTTAGTCACTCTGGAATTATTAATAAATTTATCCATTTATCAATGTTTGTATTCGTAAAATAAAACAAGCTGTAGATGATTCTTTTGAACAAGAAGCACACTGCTTTTTAAAAAATTGTGTGTTTCTTCTTTCTTTTTCTTATAAAGAGAAATATATCTTTTGTTTGACATTTTGCTGGAACGACAAACAAACGGCGGTTTTATCGCAAAAAGATTACACGATCAATGGATTCGACAACGTTTGCGCGTGTTCAACAAGCGGAACAAAATCGTGTGCGCCGATAGATTAAAACGAAATAAATTCTTTGTTAAAAAATTCACATATGCCATCGGGATATTAGTGTACGCGTGAAAGCGGCGCTTCTCGGTGAAATTACGGCGTGTCGTTATAAAGGCTGAAATGAGCGCAAAGAGAGTTAAACACGCTTGCTTGCACCGCGCGTATTTACGCCGCCTTTTAATGTCGCGGCGCATTTCGATAAGCCGACCGGACACTTGCGTGGCTCCAGTTTTATTTTATGAATCGCGCCGCCGGCGACTCCGAATGAGGAGCGTAAAAAAGCTTTTCATCGCGGCAGTGTAACCGAGGCGTCATTAAGCCGCAAAACCATCGGCAAAGATTGCGAGTCCCGTGCAATCTCTTTGCCCGAACCGTCCGACGATACCGACCACTTCTGCAGTAAACGTGTTTAATTGTAAACCATTGACCTACGGCTGCGATTGAACTCGTCTGTCGGAAAAATTGCCAGCGAATCGGTCGATATATCGTATTAATTTCGAGGACTTGGCAAATTTTGTCGGAAAAAAAAAAGGATTTTAACAAAACCTACATTTAAACAAGTATTTTACAATTAAATACAACGCAAAGTTCCGAAACAAAGAACGTTTTTTTTTCTCCTCCCAGCAAACGTATAAAGTCAGAGAAAGAAATATATGTGAATTTCTCTCGGAAATGTCGCGGGCTTTTCGTTTGATCCAACACGCGATCTCAATGAGCGCCTCATAAACTGCAGTTGTAATGACCATGCTCGTGATTCCCGTGCGTTTTAACCTGCACGTACAGACAGGTGCGTGTACATGGCGCGCTTTTAAACGCGGTCGCATAAAGTCGTCTGAGCTAACGAGGCGTGGAACCTCGTAAGGCAGCGATCCAAATTTCAACGTTACAACCCTGCCGAACCGTGGTGGATTCGCTTTGGCATCGCTTTACCTTTCCCTCTCCCCCGTTCGTTTCCTCTCGATCGTTCACTTATGTATATCTCCGCACACACGCACATACACATACATATATACAAATTCCAAAATCAATTGAGTTCAATTTTCTGTGGCTAATCCGAACAAAGTCAAATTTTTCTAAAGAAATATTGAATTCGATAAATTTTCCGTCTTTTTTTTCGATATTCGGAATTAAACGTTTTGATCATTAAGCTAGATAATTTCCCTTTAAGGAATGTCCACTTGATATTCATTA